AGAAAGAGACAGAAGGAGGTGAGGGCATCATAAGTGTGTGTGAGGGGGCGGCAGGAGAGCCAGGTGAGGAGAAAAATGCTGGCTAGGGAGTGTGCCATGAGTTGATGTGCTGGCGTCTGACACCCACACAGAGATGGGGCAGGGTGGCTGGGAGTAGGCATTGCAGAACAGGAGGTCAGAACAAGGGCATTTCAGGCAACAAGTGGTATTAGCCAGTGGCTGGCTTTCCCTGGGGACACCCTTGTGCCCCCTGTACCGGAGCAATCATTCCCAGCCTTCAGTGAGCTTCACAAGTGCCTGGAGGGCTTCTTATATACAGATTGCTGGCCGCACCCCCAGAGTTTCTCAGCCAGTAGGTCTGCAGTGAGGCTGGAGAAATTTACATTCTAACAAGTTCCCAGATGCTGCTGGTCAGAGGCCCACGCTCTCACAACCACAGTCCTAGGGAAGCCAAGAAGCTGACTTGCTTTAGATACTTCTAATCCAGGAAGTCACTGGGGGCTATGTATTAGCTGGGCTTTCATACTGTGTCCACCAGAAGAAATGTTTTCATTCATATGATGTGCTTGGGGAGCCACTAACCCCCTAAACCTGCTCTCCTTTTTTCAATCAGTAGGTAAAACATGACAGCAGTGCCTTTCGTGTATGGATATGACAGGTTGAATTGCCATGTCCCCCAGCTCCGCACCCAAAGAAATGTTGAAGTCCTAACCTCTGATGCAGGTGACTGTGACCTTATTTGGAAATAGAGTCTTTGCAGATGTAACGAAGGTATTTACCTGTAATCCAAGCCATGCTGGATTAGGGTGGGTCCTCAATCCAATGTCTGATGGCTTTATAAGAGAACAGAGTGGGGGATTTGGAATTAGAAATAGACACAGGGAAGAATGCCCAGTGAAGACACAGGCAGAGGTTGGATTGCTCTGCCACAGCCAAGGAAAGCCAAGATTGCCAGTAACCACCAGAAGCTAAGACAAAGCAGTGAGAAATTCTTCCCTAGAGCCTTCAGAGAGAGTATAACCCTGCCAGCACCTTGGTCTCAGACTTCTAACCTCCAGAACTATGAGAGAATAAATGTGTTGTTTTAAGCCACTGACCTTGTGGGATTTTGTTATGGTGGCTCTGGCAAATTTACGCGTGGGATCTTCAGAGTGTGACTGTGTTATCTTAGGAGCAGCCAGCACGATCACTTTGAGTGGGTCTTGTGTCTGCTAACTTTCAGGAGAGATGCCCTATACCCTAAGTACATCCACATTCAGCTTTAGGCAGCTCGACGGTAGAGAGTTGCTTGAAGGACACCCAGGAGCGGAAGCATTTCCCAGGACAATCAGATGGGGCAGCTGGGAAGCGGGAGAAGGATGGGGTGTGCGCCCCCCTGCCTTGCACAATCATTGGAGAGCCCCATAACCACCGAGGCAGGGGAGGGTGCTAGCCTTTTCAGGGGTTCAGACAGAATGAAAGAAAGGCTAGGATGACAGCGAGTTGGAGAAAACCTCCTGGAAGAGCAGGAAGTCAGGGATCTTAGAGCACCAGGAAATTCGCATAAGGAAAAAGAAAAGTGGTCACTGAGGAATGCGAAGCTTGAACGCGTCATGGCAAAGAAACATAGTGACGATGTGTTTGAAGAGCAGGAAACAGGTGGTGAGAAGGAGAAATTGCACAAGGCCTGAGGGCAGATGGTAGTATGAAGGCCACATCACCATACCTGGGATGTCATAGTTTCCTGTTTCTCTGTTTGGGGTTCCCTGGCCACTGCATGGGAATCACCAGTGGTGTTTATTGGAAATGCAAGTTCTTGGCTCCACCTCAGTCACACTGAGAGTAAGAATCCCAGTGCCTGAGCCTGGGAAACTGTGTTCTCACCAACTCCGAAGGTCTATGTTATACCCATAAAGTCTGAAAACCGTTGCTGCAGATGCTTCATAAGTGTTAATAGGCTTCCCCCTTGCTAGATAAAGTTAGGGGAAATTCAGAAGAACAGAAGAGAGAGGGAAAGGAGGAGAGGGAGTTTCTGGAGAGTTTTAGGGTAGCTCTCCACCACTCGTCTTGCTCAGGACCTCTGTGTGGGCCACTCCGGCTTCCCAGTGGACACACCTTCCCTCCCACTGTCAGACCACAGCTGACCGGTGTTTCGGGGCTAGTGGACTGGAATCACCGGCCCGTCGCAGCTCTGCCACCTACTGGTGGTAGGGGGACATGCAGAATTCAACGTGGAGTTCATGCTGATGAAAGAGCAGTTTTAGAAAACACACACACACACACAACACGTGTGTGGGCGCGCACACGCACACATGTACACCACCCACTAGGGCCCGCTGGCCCCACGAAGCCGCGGCAGCAGCTGTTGGTTCACCTGTTGCCACAAGTACAGATGCATTAGATTTCTCAGTTCAGGGACTGATGAGATTGCAGGGCTGGGGGGAGGGGCAGAGGGGGGGGGGGAGGAAAAAGGAAGCAAAGCACAGAATGATCACCAGAGGCTCCGAAAAGATCTCTTCCTCCTTCCTTCCTGTTTTCTATGAAGAACACAGGAGGTAAGGATGTTAGCGAAAGTTGTGAAAAGTGCCCTCTGTGGGGGAGGGTGGAGGAGGAAAAATGCAAGCCACTGAGGTTCTCCTGGGGCCCTAGGGGTGGGGAGCAGGGAGAGGGGGTGTGAGTAGCCCACCCTCCCTCAGCTGGGCTCTCCCACACCCAGGGCACATGATCACCGACTGCTATTATGTCCTCCCCATGAGGCGTGCTTCTGGCCAGTATTGTGGGCTTCTCTGCCTCAGTTTCCCCTTTGTGAGCAGACAGGGCTGTGGCATGAATACATGTAAACCACTGCCTCAAACCCTGCCAGAGTGCCAGGCTCAAGCCTGATTTTCCCTAGAGCCCAGAAGGCCAGGCAGGGCTCCAGAAGCCCCCCACCCCAGAGCTGCTCAGAACAGTGTAGACTCTGCCTTACTGGCCTCTCGACTGCCGGCCCTGAAGGCCCGCTTGTTTGGGATGAACTTCTGTCCTTGCCTTGTCTCATGCTGTGACCTTATGTCAAAACCACTAGGGGTTGAGTTTCATTGACCAGGTTACCTTAAGTCTTTGGGAAATCAGTCAACAGATCACAGCCATTCCCAGGAGTCACAGATACTTAGACTCCCAGGGAATGCTCTCTGGCGTGCAGACTCTGCCCTCCAGTCCCCTTTTCTCTGACAGTTTCTTGTTCTCCACTCCCTGCTCTTGGCTTTCTTTCTTCCCCTTTCTAAGGCTGCCTGGATGGCTGTAACCTGAACCAGCTGAGGGAAGGAACAGACTGGGAGGGTCCCTGAAGTGGGTGTCCAGGCAGTGAGTATTGGCCTTTGCTTGTGGTGCCCTACTTTGCTCTTGCATGACTTGGTCATTGTGAAACCACTGTGGTCTGGTGAGGGCAAGCAAGTGGACACTGAATGCCACAATGCATACACAATCAGGGCAAGCTTTGTCACAGACCAGTAAATCAAATCCAGTCTGACCCAACACATTCCAATACAATACAGCACAACACAGTACAATCTAACCAATGCAACCCAACCCAACCCAACCCAACAAAATAAAATAAGCCCAACCACCGTCAGTGTTATAGCACCTTATTTACTCCCCTCACTCTGCATTGATGGAACAGGGGAAGTAGAAGACTGGCGTATGGATTTTCCTGGTCATATTCCATCCCCTATTTGTAGGATGCTAAACAGCAAGGGAATGTCAAGACAGCATGGTGAGGACAGCAGGCTCAGGAGGGAAGAGAGCAGTGACCGTGAATTTGGGTATTCACTTAACATCCAGGTTTTTGTTGTGCATCTGTTGGGGGCCTGGTGCCTAAGGATATGTTACTAATCTGGTTCCCCTCATGCTGTGAGGATACACTGAGGCCTTTAAGAGCTGGGGTTTCTACCCCACAGTGACTCAGTCGTGGAAGGCTAAAATAAAAAGCTGTTACTAAGTCCACCATTTTTTCCATGAGTCCAAATTGGTTGATTCTATTTATTAAAGAATATATCAAAGATTTCCAAAACTCTAGTTAGAAAGCTTACCTTAGAAGAAATGTGCTATTCCCTTAACCCACACACAAAGGACCCAAACACAAGAAGTTGGCTATGACAGAACTGAGAGAATTATTCCACATAATCCACCTCCGACATAAGGTAGGGGGCCTTTTATGGGGTAGTATTTTGTGTGTTCGGTGCTTGAGACAATGAGTAGATTCTCACCTTTGTTAAAGGGATGAAAATGCTCACCTTCAAGGGTCTTATTGTAGGTTCTCCAAATTGGGAAAGTAGAGTATGGGTGATTAGCCCCATCTTACAAAGGTCAGATCACGCCAGTTCCCACCTCTGAAACGTACACTTCTGCCTTGGCCTGCAGCTTAAGCCCAGTGCTTGGAAGAGCATTCAGGGGTCTCTTGTACCTGCTTCCAAACTATCATCCCAGGCTTCCTGCTCACCTGTCCCTCTGAAGTCATCTATCCTGGCCATAGCTGGCCAGTCCCCACTGCACACACGACACCGTCTCCATCCCCACCTGCTCATGCCAGCCAGTCCCAGGACACATTCCTCCTTACAGCTCCTTCTGTTTGAATCATACACCTCCTTTAAAGGTCAGCTCAAAGCACCACTATTCTGTGAAATGCTAACCATTCTTTCCTTCTCATGGCCACACACAGCCTGTTATCTCTGTACTTCACTCAGGAGGAGCTTGGTGTGGGCAAGAGGACATGTTGGTAGAGATCTGGTAGAAAATTCTCAACTTACCACCCGTCAGCTATATCTGACTTCAAGCATGTCATTCAACCCATCGAGTCTTGGTTTATTTATGCCTAAGACATGAATAAAAGTAACTCTCTCCCTTATCTCATCAGAATTATAGCTCATTTATTAAATCAACAAGTGTTTATTGCAGACCTACTAAGTGTGGTGTGGATTAAATTAGAGAATAGATATGAAACTGCTTTCTAAATTGTGTTTTGTACCTGAGTTGTTTTAGACCAGAAACCCTGGAGGGTAGAAAACAGCCAAATTCCCTTTGAATCCTTTGATTCAAAGATTCCCTTTGTATCTTCTGTGGCAACAGTTTACTGTGTAAACAGTAGGTGTGCAGTTAGTGCTCAACCATGGCACAAACTAGAGAAAACAAGACTCCCAGAAACTGCACACAGTGGTTGGTAGAGAGTCCACAGTGTCCTCTGTTTTCCTGGCCGCAGTCACAGAAATATCTCCCCGGCTCCCAGATCCTCCAACCGGCTTATCTCAGTCGCCAAATGAAAAAGGCAGGGAGAGAAAGCTATAGAGGAAGAACATAGGTTTCCATTGGATAAACAAAATGCTTGGGAGAGTTGAGGATAGATTATTGTTAATTATCTGACACCCTTATTTATGTAGTGTCTGTGATAATAATAATAAAAACTCTCTGAAGTGCTTGCAGCCCATTGGAGGCTGAGGAAATAATTACCTGCTTAGAAATCTGGGAGGAAATTAAGTGACGCGAGACAGTTTTGTTGCCGGCTCCTTTTTCTCTGTCTTTCACTAGTGCAACACAACAAGCTGACGTGAGCAGAGCCCTCTGGGCTGAAGAGGAACAAAGAAGTATTTCCATCCTGCTTTTCCCTGGTCTGCCTTGAGGGACAGGAAATAAAGCTCACTGCCTAATGAATGCAGCCACAGGTCCAGCCCGTGGACTCCATGCTACAGATCTGGGATATGGGGACATTCTGATGTAGCACCCAGGGCCTTGTGAGGTGGGGGCTTGTCTTGGAGCCTGGAGAGTTATGGCTTGTACATCTCCTTCTCCCTTCCTGAGATTTCCCAACTCAGTTCTCCCATCTTTCCCCTCCTCTCCGCCATTGCCTCCATTTCCCCTCCTAGCTAACTGGGGCAAAAGTTGGAAGGCCCCAAGAAACAGAAGGGAACAGTGACCCCTGGTGGTAGGTGTTGGCATGAGGTCCACCAAAGGTAACCAAAGGAAAAGGTCTGTGAGGGGGAAGGGCCCAAACACAGGCTCCATCATTAGAGCCAACGCTCGGAGTATACTTCGCTTTGCTTTAGGTCTTAGGTCAGTGAGACACATAAGTGCTGAGTTGTGGGGAGTTTTTGGGGGGTTGTTTTTGTTTTTGTTTTTTGTTTTTATAATGATACATAAATTCAGGGTTTGAAAATGACATAGGCTTCAGAGAAAAGTTCCAGAACCAGCCCCAGGCAAAATTTTGGTGGAAAATGAGACTTCTCTTTAGTTTTTCAAAAATGCCCCTACTTCTCCAATCTGAACCATCCTGCTTTCTGTTGTTCCCTCCATTAATCTTTCACCAGGCACCCCCATTCTCTTCTGTCATGGAAGAACTATAGCTAACAAAAACGCATATTTTTTGTATATATATTTGTGTAACCTGGACCCGAGTGTGCACGCCATTTTGTTGATGGTAACTAGAGAGACAGGCAACCTCTTCTAGACCAGGACCTTTCACTTTACCCCACTCCACCCCACCCCAAAGGTCAGCTTCCTCTCCCTCATCAGAATATTTGTATCTTAAAAGATACTTAACAAAAGTTCCTCAAATGCTGGAATTCGAAGATGGCAATGACTATGTGGAAAAGATACGTTTCGTGTGTTCCTCAAAGTGACTCCCTCTTCATTTGTAAGGTTCTCTAAGTTAAGACATGGAGCCCATTTAAGCTGCTGGGCTGGGAAAGGGGAGAGTGTTCTCATTTCTCAACTGAGTGAGCCTTCTGGTTGTTCAGAGGCAACCTAAAGGGAAGTGGGGAAATGTGACTTTGTGTTCTTCTCTTTCACCACTGACTTGCCAAGCTGTATTCTTAATCCATGGACTGTGTCAGACCTGACCTCAGAGAGAAAGTGAGAGGGCCAGCCTGGCACAACGGTCTAAATTCTGGCTCTGGAAAATGTCATCGTGTCGTGATTTCACAGTCCATCTCTAGCATGGCAGCGGCCAATGGCATGTCCTTAGCAACCATTTTCTACCCAAGCACCAGTCCTGAATTTCCAAAGGCAACCAGACACCATCAACTGGCAACTGGACGTGCCACCATTATCTCACATTCAACAGATCTCAGACTCACTCTTCACCTTGCCACCCACACTCATTCTCCAACCCGACTTGCCCTTGCTCCTGTCATTCCTTTGGTCATCCAGGCATGACATTTCAGAGTTGTCACGGATCTTCAAGCTCCATCACCTTCTACCTTCTTTCATTTCCTTGATTCCCACTGCCTGGAGGCTAGACCACAGTCTTTTACTGTCACTCCATTTCTGGTCTCTCCCATTCATACCATCCAATATAAAACCTATGTTTCAGGAACACGCAGTTTCCTACACCAAAAAGGCTTGTAAAGGACAATTATTTCTGTATGATCCTAGACTGCCGCCATTCAACACATTTAATCTTAAGATATCCTCAGAATACATTAAATAATACTTCAAAATACTTTATAAGTAAGACTTGGAGTAACCATTATTAGCTTAATGTTGACTCCGGGAATACAAGGGCATGTTCCTAGAGTGGAGTGTGATAGGCAGAGGGGGAACATGGAGTTCAAACACCATCCCCAACCACATCCAGGAGGCCAGCTCCTCCTTCAGACCCTCAAGAAAGAATGAATGTCACTCATCCTATTATGAATCTCAGTGTCAATATGGACAGGAGACTGAGCCTCTCTCCCTTACCTGTGTTGTAACCATGAAACATGAGTGACAAGAGAAGGGTCTTGGAGTATCCTCTGGACCTCCTGTGATAATAACTAAAACTTTAGATTAGCACTGAAGACGATGATGTGCTAAATGCTTTTCATCTACTGACTCATTAATTCTTCCTGTCAGTCAAATGTGATAGGTACAGTCATTCCTCGCATTTTACGAATAAGGACACTAGAGGCTGGAGAAGTTGACTCATTTCCCAAGGAGTCTTGTAGCTAGCTCATGGCAGAGCTTGGTTTGGAGCCCATGTCAATGGCCTGGGGAACCCACGTGCTTACTCACTATGCTACGTAATTTCTTGGCCAAGCCTGCCAAACAACATCCTGACAGAGTAAGTATAAGTATTGGCCAAATAGAGAAAGGAACGTAATACTATTAATACGTTACTGTAACATTAGTATATTATACTAACATATTGATTCTTAATGCTAATATTCTAACCAGTGGCTTTCCTGCTCTTGGTTATATCCGCTAGGTCTAGGTTTCCACATCTGAGCACGAGGAGAGACACTTCCCACAGGAGCAAGGGTGGTGGCTGTGGGTTCTGCGTAGTGCCTCAGAGTTGTGAGATCAATAGGTTAATTGCTGTGAAACACAGGCCTTGGTGATGCTTTATAAATAATTGTAATAACTGTGGCCAGTGACGGAGAGGATGGTTTTCCAATATCTTATTTTAAAATGCATTTCTCTGCAATTAACTCCACAAGCTTCTGGCAGAATGAGTATCCCATATAGGCACTATTTTTCTTTTTTTCTTCAAGACCCTTCAGCTCCGATACCTCATGCTTTTTCCAGACTCTCCCTCACTGGGATCAAAGTTCACCCATCTGACTCGAGGAGAGTGTCTTTAGGTCCCTCAGCTGAGGGTGGGGGCGGCTTAACGCAGAGTCTCTGTGGTTTTCCTAGGATGAAGGGTGGTCAAAAGACCCTTTGTGATAATCACAGCCAAACTCCCCCCTGGCCCTAGGGCCCCTCAGCTCTCTGCATCTGTGAATTCCAGCGCTGTCTGGTGATGTCATCCCCGGACAGGGACGCCCTTCTCCACTCCAGAATTCTAAACCCCGGGAAGGCTGTTCCCCACAGTGTCTTTGGGAGCGGATTTTCTGACTGCAAACCATTCACATGCCTCACCCAGGCCTCATGAATTCCTGGGTTCTCATTTGAAATAGTTCCAAGTGTTTCTTTCTCAGAGTAGCTGCTATAAAAAAGAAAAGAAAAGAAAGAAAAATGTGGGCAGTGGCTGTAGGGAGATGTGTGGGAATAGAGAGAGGGTGAAATAAGTGACACTTGGTGATCGGTGAGACAGTACTGAGCAAAGTCCACTCCTTAGAAAAGATGCAGATATTTTTTTGCTGGACAATAATGAACACTGTCACTGTGTGTCACTACGGTGCACAACAATACCTACTTTTTTGTCAGTTGTTGCTGGTTTGATGCCAGCAAACTTAAATTCCACTATAGGGCTCTACTCGCTGGCTTTGTAACCCTGGGTTAGATGAATAAGACACAGCCCTGCTCTCAAGAAGCACATGGGCAAGTAGAAAGACAGGTACACACCCAAGACCCCGTGTTGTGATGTGCCTCAAGTGCCCTGATCGAGGCATGTGAGTACGTACTTCTGGAGCACAAGCAGGAGGTACCAATCCTATACTGGGAGATGGTGGGGGAAATTTCTGGAGAGAGTGATGCTGAGCTGGGTCTTGAGTAAACACCAAACATATCCCACACTTACTTCTGCCCCTTATTTTGGCCATGCAAAAAAATTCCTAGACAACCCACGAGCCAAGCCTACTTTGAAATTTTGGTATAGATCCCAAGTGAGTAAAACTTGACTCTCGGCCTGGTTCAGGACTTTGTAAGTCCTCTGACATTTGAAAGGAACCCTTAGCCATTCAGCCAGGAGCCAGATGGTGTCACTGTGACCAAAGCCCTTCCTGAGGCGGGGGATGGGGGTGCCATGTGGTCTGCAGGGTGAGTGGCTGACGCCCTAGCCTTGACTGTGGAATTGCGTTCGCCTTCTGGGAAGCCAGCACCCTGGTACTTTGCACTAGGAAACATGGTCTGTTCGCACCCTCACAGAAATACACACAGGTGTCCTTGGATGGTGTCCCTCGAAAGGGCTGATGCCCCAACAGCTTGATGAGGCTGCAGGGAAAGAACCCAGAGCAGGGCTCATCAGAGAGAGCAGATGTCGAGGCGATAAGCACTTGTCTGACGCTCCCTGGGTTATTTATTTGTCAAGGAAATTGCCAAACCGTGCCCAGAGGCTAAGCAGCAGTCCTGTGGCTTCATGCAG